TTCACGAGAATGTGATTAGCAATATAGATGCGTGTCGCATACATATAATACTGGGTCCACAATTGATCATGTGAATTTTTGTGTTTTTAACGAAAAGACAAAAATAATATTGAGTTTCGTTTTGAGTTTCACTACCGAATGTAAAGTTATGATTTGTTTTAAAATTAATCATTTATAATGAAATCTTTCGATAACTCATTGACACATTGAAAATGGGCATTCCAGGATTGATCTATCATATACAAATAATCCTAGTATTATTGCCGATGTAATATAGAATCTAGCCATATTTGTTGTAAATATGTTACAGTGTGTCTGTTCAGATTCTATCGGGCATGAATTTTTTTTTCTTTTGAAACATAGGTCACTAAAAAACTCAAAGTGCCACTGTCACAATTTTTATGACGATCATGCTTCGTCTGCACTTTTTGAGTCGACACATGAATAGAATTCTATTCTTTTTATGGCCGATATTTGCTTCTTCAATGGCATGATTAGCAGCACAGTTATAAGTAATGATGAATTTTCAGAATATATTACTCTACCACATATTCTGATTCGCTAATTGATATGACAACTGGTTTTGTAAAACTTGATTGAAAAACTAAATATCACGGTTTTCTAATTCTTAGATAGTAAAATTAATCCAACCAAGTTTAGAGATTACCATTTTCAGTGCACATCTCGCAAGTAAACTGAACTTCGATTGAAGCTAGAATTTTTATACTGATTTTTCACAATATCTGCTTCTTCTTTCAAGTGAATGATATCTGTAGCAGGGTTAATTAGGCAAATTTAGAAACTACTACCTTCACTAATGGATAAGAAAAATAACATTTCTTTTTATAAAATCCAAGTCCTACTTATGTACTGTAGTTCCTGTTTGAAGCTTCTGAATTTCTCCAAATCGATAGATTTAGCACATAAACACACGAAAACTTAAGTAAAATTTTATGCGAGATATTGATACATACTAGCGAGAACCTGTGCATACTGCACGGCTGTTTTATACTTTAACGCATGACCTCAAACATTTAACTTTTCATCCTTTAAAATACATACAGACACTCGATATTATGTATATAGAGAGATAGCCCCACGGCCTCATACTCTCATATCGCATATATTTTTATAGGCCATGTAGCCTTCGACCATATAACCTTATATTCCTTGCAGCCTTATCTCCCTATTGCGTTACTCCCTTCTGGGCCTATGGCTATCACAATATAATAGCCCTTGATGGCCAATCAGTACCCCGCTAGGATAGCTCTTGAGGACCTATGAGTATCCCCATAGGATAGCCTTTGAGAACTTATGGGTACCCCCATAGGATAGCCCTGAAGGACCTATGGGTACCCCCATAGCATAGCATTGGAGGACCTATAGGTATCCCCATAGCATAGCCCTTGAGGACCTATGGGTATCCCCGTAGGATAGCCTTTGAGTACTTATGGGTACCCCCATAGGATAGCCCTGAAGGACCTATGGATACCCTCATAGAATAGCCCAGGAGGACCAAAAGGTACCCTCTTGGGGTAGCCCTTGAGGACCTATAGGTACCCACATAGGGTAGTCCTGGAGGACCTATGGGTACCACCCATAGAATAGCATTGGAGGACCTATAGGTATCCCCATAGCATAGCCCTTGAGGACCTATAGGTATCCCCATAGCATAGCCCTTGAGGACCTATGGGCATCCCTATAGGATAGCCCTTGAGGACCTATGGGTACCCCCATAGGATAGCCCTGGAGGATCTATGGGTACCCCCATAGGATAGCACTTTGGAACCTATGGGTACCCGATAGATTAGCCCTGGAGGACCTATGGATAGCGTCATAGAATAGCCCTGGAGGACCTATAGGTACCCTCTTAGGATAGCCCTGGAGGACCTATGGGTACTCCCATAGGATAGCCCTTGAGGATCTATAAGTACCCCATAAAATAGGCCCTGGAGATCTCTCCGTTAGAGTCTTATTTGACCTTTGACCCGGCACAGAGAAACAGACAGACAGTGAACATTATATATATAGATTATGCATGACAATGAAGGAATCCTCTTTTTTTGGTATGAACTGAATTCAATCAAATTGAATCGAGATTTTCTTCTTCGTTTCGATCTCTGTTACCTTCGATTTTCTTTCTTTAGTTTTCTTTTGTGTTTTACGTATGCATATAATCACTTCCTTTTCTTCAGGAAGCAAATTTTGGAACTTATGCTGATCAATGTCCAAGAAGACCGTAAGTAAGGCTTTGTTCTAAAATACTTGTCATCGAGTCATCACCTTTCGAGTCCAATTAAACTCACGTACTCATTGTAAGACTTTATTACAGTTTGTCGTAATTCTGTCAAAATATCTAACAAGAAGAATATGTGAATAAATCTGATCAAAACTATGCGGAGTCATTAACAAATGTTACGCATCTTGAGATAGAGCTCTAAGACAAGCACATGTGGAAGCTGGTCATATAAAGATAATACATGAGAATTTGGTGACAGATTTCATATTTTATACGCTGAACATCCTACAAAAAGAAAACAAAATTATCGATCTAGATATACGCACCACATGGTAAGCACATCGTTCTATGACAAGAACTTGAAAAAGTGACTGAAAAATAAGATTGTTCAAACTGAATATAGTTTGACTTGTTTCATTAGAAGTTTATCGTATGAATAATTGAAATCATATGTTTCTGCATTGAATACATATTCGACACCTGATTTATTTCAAATGAAATTTAGCCATATATTTTGACCTATACTATTGCATAAACAATAATCTTAGTTAACATATCAGAGGTTAATTGCCTTGCAAGTGAATGCACGAGAAAGATGATGCAACTGTGATGCTAGATTCGAGAATATTCTTGAAGGGATGTCATGTTGTATGTTTATTGAAATTCAGAACATATTTGAGTAATTGAATCAGGACTAAATGAATCAACAATACATTCATTAACTTGCCATGGAATAACAAATACAGCAGGAGTTGAGTCTGTACTGACAATAAGATAATCAAAATCGTATTGACAAATTTTCTTTCTAATACAAAATTGCCAGCCTTTACTTCCATGGCGATCTATTTGGATATTGAATGAGACACAGACATCAATATTCGATTTGAAAAATAGATGGAATACTGAAAGTTAAATCAGAATTGTCATAATGGGTTTGAATCATATAATATTTAATATCAAAGTTCCCATCAGCGTGATATCCAGCTATTTCTGGAAATTTCACTAACTATTGAAGCACAATCTCATGGGCTATGTTTACTGCCATATTTTATTTTCTTAAAGCTATTAACACATTAAGAAGATCTCGGATCTCCTATTCTGTCTTATAGTTCACAAGTTACAAAGAGGAATACAGTTAACAAAAACAGTCCTATATTCAATTCCTAAAGAACATTTCACAAAACAAATATTTTGATAATAAAATATACTAAATCATACAAAATACGATTAATTAACATTTTATACTAGGAACATTTTTCATAAGACAAAAGAGCTCACTCATAAAATACTCTTATTTTATAGGATTAAATACGAAAAAAATTAGGATTTTTGTTCTTCCGCATACCTTTCTAAACCAATCCTTTTTGGTCACTTTTCATTATTGAACTTATATTTTGTTCATCTCTTTCTGAATCAGATTATTGATCAATATAATCATGAACGATATTTAATAGTACTAGATGATAATTTGAGCGTAGATAATTATTCATAAGAGATGTGCTATGTTTATTCAGTTATGAAAACAATCCTATAATTGATTGTGCCTGACAAGAGAGGAATGCAAATGAAAAATAACTGAACTTGATCATAACAGGCATGGCTTTTCACATGCCGCATACATACATCCGTTAATTAGATTTCAAATTATTCAAGAACAAATTACCATGAACGTCAGAAACAGTAGGCAGATATTCTCAAGGCAAAGATTAGAAATACACATGTAGAAACGAAAAGTACAATCATGATAGTAAAACAACAAAAACAATGGTTAGAGGCGCAGTCTTTTATTATACGGGAGTCTTCTAATGTGTCGAAGGCTTTACTTGATCATCGTTAAATGCACACATAGTCGTGATATTTGTCGCGTAGAATCAAATGTACTTATTACAAAAATTTATATCGAATATATGTCATCTGAATAGTTTGATTCATGAATAGGCTTTTCACAGATAGACCTTCATGATAAATATTCTGTTGTATTCATCAGATTTATTGTTCTAGTGGATTTTTCAAACGGAAAACTTGTCGTTTAATTTTGACTAATTCATTTCTACTGGAATAAATGAATCGGTAACAGAACTCTTCATTTTAGCAGTTAACTTCGATGTATCTTATTGATTTGCTTTAAAAAAAATACATAGAGACTTTTGGCAAGACTTCTTGTAGCTTTTTTGAAAATTACTCATCAGATCTCTCAGTAAAACGCTGAAAATGGAAAAATAGGACAAAATTAAATATCATCAATCTTTAATAACAAAAAAAAAAATTAGAAAATATTGTGTTGTCTTTTGTCTAAATTATTCATTTTCCTGAAAGTGAACGTAAGTTTTTGTTATAGAAAAATAAATAAATGTAGCATAACACATTTCGACTTGACTTGCAAATCTTATTAAGTATTTTTCTATTACAGGATTGAAATCAGAATATATTTAAGTTTCTATGAAGTCAAGGAATGTAATTCATGTTACCTTATCATTTCCAGAGATAATAAGTAAGATGTTGTCATATTTGAAAAAATTAATGAGACAAAAAAAATAGAACACATTTGTTTTTTGAGAATGAAACTAAAATCTAACTCAATAAAAAGTATCTTTCAATGTATTTATGCAATATCAGAAGTTTGAACGAGAGATTTTGATGATTGAATAGAGAAAGAATTGGTGCGAATAGTTGATACTTTTATTAATTAATACAATGAATGTTTTCTTTACATAATATTACAATAGATTTGCAAGAAAGTCAAAATATCAATGAACATTATTCATTGACAATTAGCATTGTTTGTTTGCACACCTTTGCTAAGTGTTTTAAGTTGATAAGTAGGTGCAGTTGGTGTGACTCCTACAGTATGTTGCCATCCAGACAATTGCTTTTGACATTCTTTAGTTGTTGCTATATAGGCAAAAGGCATAATGATATAGATAATGTAAGGAGTATAGAAAAGCCAGATAAGTGAGATATCGATAAGAAAGTCAGCAGGACCAAAGAGGCGGACAACTGAGAAAATAGCCAGAGGAAGTTGTGTGATAAAATAGACGAAAATAATAGCGAGTAATTGAATAAGTAGTTTTCTATTTTTACGCCATGTAAATGCTCTTCTTTCAAAGCCCGGTTGTCTTCGACATTTTTGAAAGATAACTCTTCCGAGAAGAAGCAAATTGAATGCAACAATCAATAGTGTTGGCAAGAGTACGATAAGAATCCAATCGGCAGTAACTATGACTGTATCACTTGCAAAACAAGGACCACCACATAAAAATTGAGTACCATCAAACCAATTTTCTCTGCACGAATGAGTGAAAGTCAAAATAATATACCAACCAACAACAAAAACACACACACTCATAAGTGGAACATCATGTCGAAGAAATGTATCTCGAAGACGATAGAAAAAGATGAGAAGATATCGATCAATCGATGCCCAGGCCATTAACCAACTTGAAATACCTTGTAATGTATAATTGCCTGTAACCCAATAGAGACAAATTGATAGACTGTGAACATGACCTGTATGAAAGTAGGAGAGTGAAATTGGAACAAGATCACTCATAAGTTCGAGAAAATCGATCAAAATAATGGCAATCATAATGTGATTGGCACGACGACGCAGATTACGTTCACGAACAAAGCACATGAATATGTAGAATGAACACAAAAGCGATGGTCCTAATGGAACTGAGAACAAAATTAGCTTGATGGTACGTGTAAGAGGTGTTTCAAGATTAAATATCACTGGTGATGTTTCGTTTGACATAGTTTTTTTCTTAAAATGAGATACTTCTATAAAGATGAGTTTAAAAATTCATGAAAGAATAATTACTTGCTAAAATAATAACAAAACTCATTTTCACAAGAGCCTGTTTTTGATACGATCATGACACATGCACCCACGTATCTTTTTGCGTTATTCCTTTTCTCGTGATTATAAAATGAAGGAATATAATACAACAAATCCATACAATATACTGATGTGTTTTTATTTCTAAAAAATAACTGACAGAATGCAAAGCAAGATATTTGACATTCTTTCATGTGATTTTCGATTGAATTTTGAGTGAAACTTCATTCTCTCTATCGATTGAATCTCCTTCATCGAAAAAA